ATTTTTAGAGTTTAATTTTTAGTTCTTTAGTTTAGTTTTATTATAATTTTCCTTTTTACATTCTTTTTATTTTCTTTCATAAATAGTAGTTTTTTAATCATTTTTTTACATTCTATTATTTTTATTTTATTTTTCCTAACCCAAGTTATCAGATATCTTATTTTTGGAGAAAAGTATAGCAAAAAGGCCAAAGTGCAGTTCATGTTTGAAAAGAATAGATTGAGTTTGGGCCGGAGCCCAAACCCAACACTAAAAGAGATTAGCCCACCACTCCATGTTTGTTGTCTCACGCACGCAAGAATGAGAAAAGTGTCAGCGGCTTCTTCTTTGCGTGAAACCGGCGAAGCACTCAACGCTCCAACATTCGGCTCCATCAATTGCGCGACAATCAATTCTCAACGGGAAGAAACTTCCTTGCTATAAATTGGAGTGCAATTGCAACTGAAAAAGGGGGAAAGCAGAGGGGAATCACCGAGAATAAAGCAGCGGCTCTAGCCGCTGCTATCTACGCAGCTCCGATGGCGGTGGGCGGTGGAGGAGGCGACAACCAGCGGCGGCGACGGTAGCGGCTGCAGCTCCGGTCGACGATGGGCGGCGGTCTCCAACACCGTTCATGGTTCCTCCAAGCTTCAATTATTCAATTTCTTCATCTTCTTCAACAATTGGTAACCTTATATTTGTCAATTTCTTTTTCTTCTCCAATTTCTTTGTAAAAGTTGTTTTTCAATTCTAATTTACACTTTTTTTACCTTGTTTATGTTAATTTCATAAAATTCTAAAAAAATGGTTGGTGTTCTTTTATGGTTTTTTTAATGTCTATATTAAATCCCTTATGAATGAGAATTGATTCAAACTAGTTTTTCTTCAATTATTGAGCAAATTGTTGTTGAATTGGTTGAATTACATAATTTGATTTCATAAGTAGGTTGGTATGTGGAATTCGGTTTTTGTTGAAGCTATTTTAGCTCCATAAGGTAGTTAAATGAACTCCGAATTCATACGTGAATCTCTTTTGTGCTTTTGTGTTCGTTGATTTTAAGGAATTTGGACTTCTTAGCTCCA